GGACTGATCTGGCAAAAGCATCCGTTGCACTGAGGGGCTTTCTTACCCTAGACCCAGCAGCAATAGCTTCCTTCTGTAAGTATTCTGAAGTGATTGGAATATGGTTTGAAGGAAAGTAAATGGAGAAATGCAAGGATAAGTTTTCATTGAAAAATGGGTTATTGAGTTAAATGACTTGCTGAGTAGTAGAAAATGGTATTCAAGGGCTCTGAATGTTTTGCTATGTTATTGTTTTGTCAGTTTTAGAGATTGAAAGTACAAGTAGGGCTATTAATAGTATATTTCTTTTCCCACTTCCAAATGCAAAACAAAGATCTAACAAAAAAAGTAGCGAGATGCCACCCTCAATGTAGGCAATAGATGCAAAAGTGCAGAAATTGAATTTCTATGGGTCATGGAATGCTTAAGAAGAGAGAATGGGTTAAAGGCGACAGTAGCCTTGGAAGCATCCCCTTGGACAGTATTCCCTTGGAGTGAGGGGAAAGAAAATGTAATGATGATTGACATAGTGAAACAGCGTTTCTGTAGTTTATAACTAACACTAATAATTCCATTTCTTCTAGTGTACTTTGCTGCCCTTATCTTATCTTTGAGCCAGCAGATGACATGTGATAGAATTAACCTCTACACGCCACCTTCAGAAAACGGCAGCATCTGGTAGGAAACTGAAAAAAATCATTAAATCAGAATATAGCTTACTTTATAACATAAATCACTTGGGAATCTTTGTCAAACTTGTGGATTTGAAAGGTTATGCAATATACTACTAATAGAAGATTTTATTAGTAAACCTGTTTTTGTGTGAGCTTAACCTGAAGTTTTGATCATTTCTCTGTAAAATGAGCGTTCTCCAAGTCGGGCTCGGTAATACTGTCCCACCTCTGCACCTTGAGCAAGAACATGCCTGAATGATGCTGAAAAACTTGAGCCTGGCAGGAAACTTAAGCTTTTTTAAGAGGAGAGACTTTCTTTTGCTAGGGAGATATGATTCTACTGAAGTGGACACAAAAATCCCTTTTGTATCTATAGCAGAACATTCTGTTGGGAGTCAGTGCTGTTTTTGTAGGAGATGGTGTAGTCTGTTTTAAGAAAGAGGATGTAAGGGCTTAGCAGATACAAATGCCAGTAAATGCAAAGTGCCATTTCATGCTAGAAACTCTCATTTAAATCCAGTACTTTCTAATGGGATTAAACTCCCACATGTGTGGTTTTTTTTTCTTTTAAGTAGACCAGGAGAAGTAAAATAAAGAATTGATGTTTTGTGTATTTAGACAGTTGTCCTCTTCAATGATTTTTCTAAACATTTGTTAATTTTATTTGAAAAGTCACACCTTCAGTAACAAAACTGCAGCAGACATGGCTGATAATATTATTTCTACCTGGCTTAAGAAGTTCACTGCTGTGACACTGTTGAAATGATTATTATAGCACATATATACTGTGAACCCTGACTGATCCTTTGATGTGCTTTGCCTAGGACGGCAGGTACGGAGGAAGAAATTCTTCAGCCATGGATTGTGGTGAATTTAGTAATATCTATTCTAGTTGGGACAAGTTGGATCTTCCTGTCCTACCAGCCAGAGCTGGACCACAGCGAAGGTAGGAAGCAGTATGAGGGAAAATGTTGTTCACTCTTGTCCAGGCTTTTATCTGCTGTGTTTTGTATGCAAGACTAGTCCTGACAAGTGCTATAGTTAAGGACTGATGAGCTTTGTCTTCCCTTCTAGTAACTTTTCAAGTGTTTTTAGGATTCTGGTATCTGTGTTTGATCTTCCAAAGACCAAAAAGGGGTGAGGAGGGACAGCGAGACAAAGGAAAATCCTGGCTGAAGCAATTTTTCACATGAGACACTGTGTGGGACGGGTCATCTTTGTAGAAGAAAAATAATTTTTGATTTTTTTTAACAGCATTTTGAACACGTGCAATTATTATTCTGGTTATGTTTTAGAAAGTTTGCTTATGTTGCTAATGCACCTTTTACAAATGTTAAATGTGTTTTGAGTACAATTTGGTGGTATTTTTTGCAACAGAATGTTAATTGGTGACAACTAGCTGTGAACAGTATAATTCATGACTTTCTCAGGTCCCTGTGCTGCTAACTTAGCACTGTGCTTCACAGGGCAGGTATGTACAAAAATTAATGTGTCTGTAAATGGAAAAGTTCCTTCATGAATTTGACACTTGCAGAATGTAGTTGCTCAGAGTTCTTTTTGATTTTATTTGAGTGTCAAGCTGAATGCAGCTTCAGTACGATCAGCTATCAGTGTCATTGCTAATTCTATTAACGATTTGAAGGCAACAACAGAATTTTAGAGACGGTGGCTGCTGCTGTTACTGAGTTTTTGTTTGGGAAGAAGAGAAGGAGGCTTGGGGAAATGCCAGAGAACTTTTCAGGTATAGTTAAATTGTTTTCAGATGAAGTTTTTAAAATAGAATTCCTTTCTCTCTCTTGCAGAACTGATGTTTCATGCTGAAATTGAGGAATTTCCTCAGGGGGATATCTTACCCAGAGTCCAGCCATAGTTGGAAACAAACATCTTTGAATATCGTAGCTGTGACTGATGGCTCAACATTTTCTTTCTATTGTAGCCATATATTATACCTTTCATAAAACAAAAAAATGTATTTTTATACTGTTTATATTTGGTTTGGTTTGATGTTTTATGTATATTGTTTTTTAATTTCCAGTGATAAGTGAAAACTTTTATATTTCTGCTTTTTGTTTTATAAAAAGTAAATTATCTCTAGTGCATAAAGTCAAGCTGCTTTTGTAAGCATTGCTGCCTCAATAGCCAAAGAAAACAGGTGGATGCAGAAGATGGGGCATTCAGTCCTTTTAGACAGCACTATCTTCTTCAACAACCTGCACTTTGTTATTGATGTTGGTATCAGCTCATATAGCTGGGCTATCTGACTTGACTAAGTATTTCTAGAGACTATAACATGTTATGAAGAGAGCAATTTAAGAAAGGTTATAGTAACATACAAAGTTAGAAAACATGCAATAAACATTTCAAAGTAAGCTGGTGTGAATGCCAGAAACGAAAGTTTTCATATTGCAGCATCTTGAGTTCAGGAGTGAGCTTTCTTTATCTGCTGGGCAAGTGAGGAACTTGCCAAGGTTTACAAAATGGGTGTTTAGTCACAGAACATACAGTATCTGGAGAAGCCTTAATTAAATGGTTTTGTGCATTTCCATACCAACATTCTTCATACAGTATTGTGTTAATGAGAAATATTTCCATGAAGATAGTGCGAATTTCTCATTTTTAAAAGTATAAAATGCTTAAACTGTTCCAAACGCCTCTTAAAAATTACTGCAGTGCTTTGTACTGTTTCCAAATGATGGGCATATTTAAACTAAAGTGGTCTTTATTTTTTGTCTCCCCGAGGGTGACAGTGTGTGTGATATACAAGCTCTGCACAGTCGGTTAGGGGAAGGCACTTTTTGCTTGTGCCTCTTCTTTCCCCGTGCCCGCAGGCAGCGCCTTTGCACCAAAACCGCCGCCACGAGCGCGGCGGTTTGAAAACCAACCGCCGCCGCACGGCCGTTGGGCGGGGCGGGGTGGGGCGGCGCCGCCCGCCGCTGCCCGAGCGCGGCCGTTCGGCGCCCTCTGTTGCGCGAGGCGGCTCAGGGCCGCTCGGCGGCAGCGGCCGCGCCGACATGATGGGCCCGAGGGAGATGGAGCGGCCGGGCGCCCGGCCCGTGCCCAGCACCAGCTCCTTCCTGGGCGCCTGGTCCTGCAGCTCCCCCGAGGCCTCCCTCACCTCCCTCAACTTAAAGTCGCGGGGCTCCAGGCTAAAAAAGAACCTTGCCAAGGTGCGGCTGGGTACAGCTGATGTGTATTAGCTGTAAAAACCTGGAGTCCCTCTGCTAGGTGTTTTGGGAGTCCCAGGGGTGTTTTCCTCTGTTGGATGTAAAAATACTAACCCCGGGTTAGTCAGGAAATTGTAGTACCCTGGCTATCTTCTGAAAACTGCAAGACATTTTCTCTTCCCCTTGGTAGCTGCTGAAGCCAGGTGATGAACGAGCTGAGCAACAGGATGACAAGCTAGAGGCCTATGGAGAGCCGGTACGTGTACCATGCACCTCAGTGCTTGTTCTCCAGAGGGGATCCTGTGGTAGCTGCCGCACAGACCTGGCAGCTGGAGTGTGTGGGTTGGCCACAGTCCAACTCCCCAAGCTGCCTTTATGCAGACCCCAAGTTTCATAAATATAGCAGACACTTTTTAAGTGACTATTTTTTAAGTGACTGTTTGTCACCTGATGATACATGAAGAATTGTTTATAGCTGCCAAAGAAATGGAGAGGTAGAGATGTTTTATTAAAATGTCTATAAAACTAAATTTTAAAGCATCTTTGAAGTTCCAAGATTTCATTTATTTAGTGCAACCATAAGCATTTAAGTCTCAGTGTACTTGAGTACAGGCATGAAATTCTTATTTGTTTTCCTTTTAGTGCGGATATGTTTTTAGCTAAAGCTGAGAAAGTTTATTATTCAGTTTATTGGATATGGGATGCCTATTTTCCATATACCAGGCAGGTAGAATGTACCATCCTTTACATCCTGGAGTGCACTTCCTCTTAAAATAGACTTCTATGCTTCCATTTTTTAACTTTTCATTGTCTTTAATTATTGAAGTGCTGTCATCAATAAAGGTATAATTTATATTTAAAAATGAGACTGCCTTTTTGAATTCTGAAAATTTCACATTAGACAAAACAGAAGAAAATTTACAGCATCTCTTGACACATCAGATCGAAAAGTACTTTGCTCTCATAGATGTCCTGACAGATACTGCCGTTTTAAAATAGGTATTTCTTTTCTTCTTTCAGGAAGGAAAAGAATGATTTCGTCTTGCTACAATGCAAATATGCTATTGTAAATGATTCTGTAAATTAGTCTTGTAAAATCACACTTTCTGAACAAAGGAAATTCAATTGTCCTGCTGAGAGTGGTTTATCACTTGATTTATTTTTTCTAGAGTGGTTGCTTGGGTGTTCATGTGAAGAAGTGCAAAGATTTTACACCAAAGTGTATCCTTTTTGAAAATAACCTGTTTTTTTCTATTTTTTTTCCTCCTCCCTGTCTTGATGCTGGGATATCCTCAGGATATGCTGGGGAACAGTATAGAACAACATACTCTGCAATTTTCTGCAACTGAGAAAATATTTATTTGTACTAATGAATAGTTGTAATGAGTGATGTCATCACAGAATCACAGGATGGTTGAGGTTGGAAGCTCCCTTTGGAGATCATTTAGTCCAACTCTCCTGCTCCAGCAGGGACACCTAGAGCACATGGCAGAGTCGCATCCAGGTGGTTTCGAACATCTTCAAGGATGGAGACTCCAAATGGCCCAATCCACCTCACTGACCGCTCATCTAACCTGCACATCGTGAGCTTGCCCATGAGGGTGACAGCGACAGTTACAGGAGATGGTGTCAAAGTTTTCCTCGGTCTGGGGCAGAGGACATTCCCAATTCTCCTTGTCCAACAAGCCAGTCATCCCATCATAGAAGGCTCCCAGATTTATTAGACATGACTTGGTGAATCCTTGTCCTGCTCCAATGATAAGCAAAGCCATCAAGAAGGCCTTTCTTTGCTAAATTATCAAATTTAGGCTAATGGGAAAAAAATAGATATATATGTTAATAATTATTAAGATTCAGTTATGCAGATTGTATTTTGTTTGAATAGAGACTAAGAAAATTAAGTCATAAGTTCAATATTTTCAAAGTTGCATGTGCTGTTAATCACAGTACAGAGGAAAACCTAAGAACTTTAGAAGTGTTTTTAAAACTTAATTGTTTAAGTAAATATTTTTGCCTGTTTTAGTGTATATTTTACCTTAAAATAGATCAGAACAACATACAGCAATCCTTTGGAATTTATTTGGAAATGTTAAATTTTTCCAACATTAAATTTTTTAAAACTTTACAGCAGCAAATCCCATTGCTTAGGCATTATTTTTTTTCAGTGTGGCAATAGAATACTCTCCCATGAGTTCTGATGCTATCTGCTTAAAAAAAAAAATAAAGCTATGAATTTTTTTCTAAATATTTGAAAACATTGGCATGTACTTAAAGGCAGCATTCTGCTTGCTTGACGGCAGTAATGAAACATACTATGTGAAGTTTTGAAGTCACATTCTCACAAATACAATAATGCTGTTCCTTTTTAAGGGGAAAAGTTTGATTGAGAAATTAAGTGTAGAGGAATGCATGTTTTGACTGTGACCACTGAGAGAATGAGGCTATAAATTTCCAGCCTCATTTGAGGCTCTTACTTTTGGCCAAGATATCTTTTACTTAGAGGTGCCTATTGCCTTGCATGGAATGGAGAGGTAGCCTAGGCCACCTATAGGGCAGATGAATCTTCCTGTAAACCATACTTTTAAATTGGCCAGTGAGGTCAGATAATTAGTTTTATGGCTTGAGAGGATGCAATTTATACATGGTGCAGAAAATGGGATGCTGAAGTACAATTTAGTTATTTTGACTGTACACACTATCAATAAGAATGCTTAATCTCCTGCAATTTCATTATAAATACATGTAATATATATGTAATATATATGCAGTAAATGTTTCCTAAACTTGAAACTTGCAGACACTTTCCGACCAAACACTTGGGTGATGGTCCGTATTAGTATTAATGAGTATATGAAGTGCACAGATCTAGAACTGTTGACACAGACAGAAGATGGACAAGGAAATGACATGGTGGTTCATTTTGTAAATGAGAAATACTTCCCTATAGAGGTATAGTGATAGATTTTGTTCTTTTGAATAGTTGTCCTTTTCAGAGAATGTTCTTCCTCAAGCAGAGATGCATGTTTTGTGGTGTTTTCCTGTCAGAGAAGAACAAGGTAATTTTAATGTAAAGCAGAATTGCTTTACATCGTCACTTCAGGACAGCAAGGTTCTTGAATTTAAATAATAAACTTGATTTTTGTTTTATTTGGAATTAATTTATTTTCGATGTTCTTTCAAATATTGTGCTTCTTTTTGAAAACTAAGTTTATTTTGACCAAATGAATGCTTTATGTGTGCCTAGAGATCTAAGGCAAGTTTGCTGAAATGTGCTCATTTTTCAGCACTATTGTTCTTTGTACGTTCCTGTCATGTCTAACAGTAGCAGCTATAGCATGTATTTTAGCTTGTAAGAGCTTATTGTTTTCTGTAGCAATATTGTAAGTTTTTGCTGCCATGTTACAGTAAGATGTAGGTACCCTTATGTTTTAACTTGCAGGTTCCAAGAAGAGCATCGGATGAACGGAATTTAATTCTTTTGGAGTTAGTAGAAGTTAAAATGGAGAGAGACTTGCCAAGGCTGCTGGCACGTGCAACAGTGCACCTGTATGAAATCATTAAGGTAGTGATAAGGACAGTTGCTTAGGGTTTGTATGGGAAGCAGCATAAAGGAAAACAAGTTGGTACATTTAGAATAAGGCATGCATTTTTCTATATTGATTTATGGTATGGAAAAAAGAGCAAACAGGATGATTATAAAAATCCACAGTTGAATATTTCTGTAACAAAATAGTAATTTTTAATGAAATTATCTAATGTGAAAAACTGTGTGGATTCATAGTCCTGCCAGAAGGCGTTATTATCTAAATGCTTTTGCATGCAAGAATTGTGCTGCATTTTAACTTTGTAACATTTCTAGATTCCATTTTGTAATTAGAGCTTTTTCATATACTTGCTGATGTCCTGTATGAAATATCTGCATGCTTGTGCATCTCCTCCTTTCTCTTCTTCTGCTTTGCAGAGAGGCTGCTGCACTGCAACATGTCCCATGAAGAACCGAGATCTGGTAGCATACTTTGGCATAATTCAGAGAATAGCTTATGAGAATGTACCTTGTCTCTACAGAATGATTTTAATTACAAAATTTAACTGTTCTGAATGTACTGGTAATGTTAAGATAGATATTAAAGCAGAGAATTAAGAGAAAACAAAGGACAGTACAAGAGAACTCTCTGTGAACCTTGTGGTATTTATCAGTACTGTTACAGTGGGGCTATAATATTTACATACAGGAACCCAGGCTGTATTTAGTCTTGTCCATCTAACATCTGTCATTTGAGGAACTTGCTTGGATGTTGATGACAAGGTTTTGTTGCTGGTTGTTTAACGAGAAAGGCCTTACTTGCTTTCAGTTCTTAGGCGAAGTGTATTTCCATTAAGGGACTGAACCTTTACGGATTTGAATGCACACTGTTTTGGAGGCAGCTCAGGGCAAAGATGATTTGACAGTGCACAGCAGCACTCACCTTTTTTGGAGAGAACAACTGAGAACCATGGTGTTCTGAACTGGACTCTTGTGCAAACAGGGTAACCTGTAACAGGGTAACTCTGAGCATGCACTGGACTGGTGTGTCCTCTACATCTAGCCACCAAATTTCATAACGTTTCCTAGGCAAACTTGCTACCTTCTTTAACACCTTAGGGAAAAATATTGACAGAAGCACTCTGACTATAATTTCTCTGAGCAAAAGAAAGGGTTTTTCACTAAAACAGGAAGATGCCTTAAAATGGTAGTGCAGAGCTCTGTGTGGCATGTAAACCACAGTTATATATGTATATTTGTATTACCTGTCCTCTAAATGTATATTGCAAAAAGCTTAGATAGAAAATGGAGTGTAAACTAATTATTTTGATGATTTGTTTAGTTTTTTGTTCATATTATTCTGGTGTTAGGAAAGCCTGTTTTGATTAGTTTTCTGAACTCTATCCTCAGAATAGGTTTCCTATCTTGAATAATAAACTTACACAAGAATACAAGGTGGGTGGAAGTATTGAAATTTTGTTCAGAAGATTAAGTATGTGGAGGTGTATTTTTTGTGCTTTTTCTATTTTTATATAGTTTTTACAATTCTTGCAGATGTTTACTATAGAACATGTTTGTATGTGTGCTTGTCATAAGGATTAATAGATTGTAGTAGTAAAATGAACTTTTTTTTTCCCCCTAGGTCTTTTGTTTACTGGAAGTAAAGTTCATGTTCTGCTATGGATGCCTTGGTTATGGCAACTCATCTCAGGTCTTGTTCTCTCTTTCTTCAGTTTGGTTTTGTGAATGGGAAGACTAGGAAAGGAGGCAGTTAGTGGGCTATTGAATCCGAAAATATCTGGTGGTGGTGGTGGTACAACTGCATAAACCTCAGCAAGATCTACCTGTAGAATATTTATACATTATATTCCGGCTGCTTCTGTTGGAAGAAAAGCCAAGATGGTGCTTACTCTTCTGGAGCCTTTCTTCTATAATTTATGCAGGGGCAGTCTTTCTGTGTGGATTTTTTTCCTTTGGTGCTATTTTTTCTTGTATTAGCATTGTCCTGTGGTCCCTGATCAGTTCTGGTCAGGGTCAGTCAATCCCTGAAGATTGTCTTTCTCAGGCACTTGCTTCCTTTTTTACTAAACAGAATGTGGCAAAATAAAATTCAGAGTTTTTTGTTTGTTTTTCTTTTATGAATCCATTTCAGAGCCATAGCAGGTTAAGGTAGTCTAGAAGAACATTAAGAAAGCCATATAAAGTGCTCTTCAGGTTATCCTGAAGAGCCTCCACCATTTGTATAGTGCTGCAGTTTGATCTTCCTCAATATATATATTATTTTTTTCTTAGAATGGTCAATAGGTCCTGAAATTCCACTGCTTGTTTTTTCAGATGGATTATCTCGGAAGTTATTTATTTACACTATTAAGATTGTACAGCTTATAGTAAAGGCTGTAATGGCTTGGAGCAACAGTGTTTTTCTTTTGTAGCTGAGTAATCCGAAGCTTCAAAGGCCCACAGACCGTACTATGTTTCCTCGACCTCCACCGATAAAGGACGGAGCACATCCTTACAGGTACTTGGGAACTGTTTGTTTGCCTTTATGTGAGACGTTAGCTAAAACTTAAATAATTCTATCTCATTTCAGTGAAGAGGGGGGGAAAAAAAGGGATTTTTTTAAAGACTTAAATGGATGCAACTCCCCTTGTTGACAAGACTGTACAATTAGGTTTTCTCAAGTGCGATATGAATTAGCCACAAATTCCTGCCCACAACTTGCAAACTTTTTTTTTCCAGCCTAAGTCCCACTGTTTTGTTTTCTTGCATGTTTCAAGCTTCCTTTGATGTGACTCTTCAGTGTTTCACACATTTGGATTCATGTTCTTGCTGTTGTTGCTGCTGTTGTCCTGTCATCTCTTTTTTTTTCCCCAGACAAATAAGTCTAAATATGGTAAATGACTCTAGATTTCCAATATAGAAATCTTATTATCTCTTTCCTCATAGCACCGTAGGAATGTGATAGCTGTGAGTGTGACAGTGTTTGAATACTTATTCTTCCATTTGCATTCCATATTTCTCTGTTACTTTTTTATCCTTCTGTAATTCCTCCTCCCTTTTTTTCCTTTTCTGTGAAACTGAAAGTAACTTTATTTTGCCCTGCTAAGCATGTAGCTCTTCATTGGCTTTATGGACAGCTTTGTAGTTTCTGTAAAGTTCCTTCTGGTTCCAGATTAAATCTAATCTCTGCCCAGCCATACAGAAAATGTACTCCTACTGTGCATTTAGAAATGCGTTTTGGTGAATATCCATGTTTATCAACTGAGGAGAATTGCAGGAGAAGATGCAAGAATGTGCTTCACTGCAAAGTCAGCTCAGTTGATTAACAGTAGCATGTGATGCGGGTCATACCACTTGCTTCATATGAAGCCTGTTTAGCAGCTATTTTAACATGGACAAGGTTGCTGGTAATGCTAGTTATGTATTGTTTTTGTTTACCCTTGCTACTTGAAATTCTGCACTAAGCACCAAATCTAATGCCTCTTGTGGCAGTACTCTTTTGGACTGAGAAATGGGAGAAAAGGCTATGAAGGAGAAGCCACTGTTCTCGTATCTGCAGTGAACCTGAGAAGGTCTTGAAACCCCTCCATTGGAACAGTTTAAGAGAGTTATTTGTAGGTGGCTGTTATTTGTTGCATGACTTAAAAACAAACGAACTGCAGAATTATTTTTCTTAACTGTGAGAAAAAACAAACACAGGTTACCTGTTTGAGAAAAGTAGGTTTTCTGGCGTATTATTTGTTATATTATGATTTATTTTTGTAATAATTTTGTGATGTACATGAAGGATTCTGTGAGTAGTTATTCTGGCTTTGTTTTATTTTCCTCTCATGTAGAGAACAATCATTTCATGCTATTCAGTTCTCATTTCTTCTTGCAAAAATATCCTGATGTGTTAAGCTATATACTTAAGTCTAGGTAATTACCATGTGATTTTGAACCACTGTAAAGGCAATCGTATTTGTACATTTCATCTCTCCATTACCTTTCAGTCTTACTCTTTTCCAATTACTGTGGAGTGTTTTGTTTTTTTTTCCCTCCCCTTGATAGTAATGACATCTCAGCAGAGCCAAAGAAATATACTTCATTCCTGCCTCCATATCTTTATGCAAAAATTACCCTTCATAACAAGAAGATACCTGCTGTCTCGGATCTTTCTTCAGAGGAAACCCTTCCAGAAGGTACCAAAGAATTATCAGCACAAACAAGGCAAGAAACTAATTTCTCCTTATTTAAGCTTTGGAATTTGATTTTTATTTTGGGGTAGAGAAACTGAATCCTGGCAAGGTGCAGTTTGTTATGAGCCAGTGCATTTTAAATAGGCCAGGTTGTCGCATAGAAAAGGGCTGTTTTCTGTCTTCCATTGTTTTGGAACAACTTTGAAACTATGGTGAGACGGCATCATTCAGCTGTTCTACCTCGCATTGTCTGAAAGAAATCTCTTGTTGGCATGGATTAAAGTAATTTATTCTTCTAAAAGAAAAAAATCTATGAAAAGTTGTAGCTATGGCAACAGTATTGTACATTTTTGTTTGCTAAATTTATATTGCAGGGCAGGTGTATGTCTTTTTTCCGATAAAAAGAATCCTGAGATCTTATTGCTGTATCACTAGTACAGGGCTGTGTAACTGAATGGTTGTTCTGGTATAGATGGTCAATGCAGGATTTATTTAACAGCCGAATGGAGGTACGCAGCTGCTTTGCAGGAGCCATCAACTATGGCTAAAACGAAATATATGGAAAAGTGCATTTTCAGTTATGCACGAGTACTAAGTTTAGATTTATATTTTTATACTTTGTTACTATTTACAGGTTTTCAAAAGAGATGTTGATCACTTGATGTATCCAACAAGTTCTGTGTGTTTTTCATTCCTGTTTGTCCAGTCTCTCCTATACTTTTGAAGTCATTGGCCCATTTTGTTTGTTAAAATGTGTTAGAGAATTCAAAGTTACTAATTTCCGACAAGTTTTATGAAAACAGTTCAGTTTTCATAACTGAAGTTTACAAGTTACAAGAAGAATTT